AACGAGGGGTCGTTCCAAAGGCTGAGGGCGAAGCGAGACAGCGACTCGGTGTGTGCCCGCGTGCCATGCGGTGTGTGCCCGCGTGCCATGCGCGTCTTGGGACTGGATCGTGAAGCCAGTGCTGGAGTGGTCTCATATGGAGTAATCCGAGCGGCGTGACGGCGGCTGCGGCTGCGGATGCCATATGCCCCAGGAGTCTCTGAAAGTACTTCAGTGGGACCACTAGTTTGCTGTCGAGCTCTCTCAGACAGTCCAGCAACAGGCGAGCGCATTCCCCGGAGAGACCATGGTGACTGAGTCCAGCTACATCCCGAGAAAAGAGATCCTCTGCACAGGGGCGAGGTTGTTTTTTTCCCGGTTGACCTGAAGCCCCAACAGTCGGAGGTGCCGGAGCACCTTGTCTCTGTGCATAATCAATTGCTCCCGCGAGTAGGCTAAAATCAGCCAGTCATCGAGACAATTGAGTATGCGGATGCCTGCGAGCCGAAGGGGGGCTAAGGCACCCTCCGCGAGTTTGGTGAAGACCCTCGGAGACAGAGAGAGCCCGAAGGGGAGGACCTTGTGTTGCCACGCTTGACCTTCGAATGCAAACCGCAGAAACTGACGGTGGCGTGGAAGAATGGAAACATGGAAGTACGCGTCCGTCAGGTCTATGGCTGCAAACCAATCCCGAGGATGAACGCATTGGAGAATGCGCCTCTGCGTGAGCACTCTGAACGGCAGCCTGTGCAGACAGTGGTTCAAAACGCGCAGATCTAGGATTGGTCGTGACCCACCGCTCTTTTTGGGTACGATGAAGTACGGGCTGTAAAACCCACTCTCCATCTCGGGTGGAGGAACTGGCTCAATTGCACCCTTCGCCAGGAGGGCAGAAATCTCCTCTTGCAAGACAGGGGCGGACAGGGGGCTGACCCTGGTGAAATACACACCCGTGAACTTGGGGGGCCGTTTCGCGAACTGAATCACATAACCGAGTCTGATTGTGCGTATGACCCACCGCGAACTAAGCAGGGCTAACCAGGCAGGCAGAGCCCTCGCTAATGGAGTCATCGCTACAATCGCTGACGTACCAGCGGTGGGGCAGCGCGGAGTGGGTGTGCTGATCCGGGAAGCGCGAGGGTCCCGTGGAAGAGCTGGAGGAGAGCAATTCACTCTGACTTCGCACCCTGACTCCGGAGAGGGGGCTCGAGGGTTGGGGGAAAGGAGACCCTCTCCCCAGCGCTCGTGAGCCACTGGCGAAGCACATAGAACCTGCGAGCTGGAAGGCAGCGCGTCCCGGACTGGCAAGGTTCGTGCTGTCACATCTGGGGAAGGGGAAAAGTGCTCTTTCATTGATGTTTTCGTGGCACTGAAAAGTACCCTTGGAATAGTCGCCCTGCCCTCCAGCGGGGAAAGAGCAAGTTTACTCTTCTCCGGATGGCCTGTCTCAGGGACGCTTCGCGGTCCGTTTACCGGACTTAACGGCGCCCTGGGAAGGGGGGGGCTGTCTGCTTTCGAGGTGCTCAACGCGCCCGCTTGGCCGGAGGCGCAGGAGCAGCGGAGGTGCAGGAGCGACTGCTCTCTCACCGAATTGAATTCCAGAGGTGGTGTTCCTGGACCACTAGTGTGGATGTTGTCCTCCCCAGCGCACACGCGGCGGACTTAGTAGTCCGAAGAGCATAGTCGGGCGCGGTGCGCAGCTCGTGTAAAAAGCCTGGGTTAGACCCGCCCTTGTGCAGCTCGGCCAGCGCCTGCGCTTGGTAGCGCAGGTAGGTGGCCATTGCGTTCAAGGCGGAAGCAGCCTGGCCCGCAGCCTTGTAAGCTCTGGCTCTGAGGGAGGCAGACAACCTACAGGCTTCGGACAGGAGACGGGGCGGATCCCGCCAAGTCGAGGCGCATTGCGAGCAAAGATTGACTGCGATAGCGCGCTCCACCGACGGGATCGCCTCATACCCCCTGGCAGCTCCACCGTCAAGGACGGTGAGGGCGGAGGGACATGCAGCACGGGCAGAGAAAGGTGCCCTCCAAGACTGCGTGAGCCTACTGTGCACCTCCGGGAAGAAGGGAGGCTTCGCCTTCTGGTCCTCTACATAACACCCATCTAGTCAGTCTGGCCGCGGAGCTGGGGGATGAACCAACTCCAACCCCACGGCCGAAGCAGCCCGGAAAAGCACCCATTTTGACAGCGCTCACCTGCCCAGAGGGGGCGAGCGGGTCTGGATCTTCGTTGGACAATGAAAGCCCAACCTCCGATACTGCGTTTGGTCTCCGGTGTCAGCGGGTGTGAGAGCTACCATCTGGTTAGACAGATCACTCCCACTGCCCGAAGCTTGGATTGGCATTTCATTGGCCCGTTCCATACTTTTCCAGACAAGTGGCTTCTGAACCGAATCCTCCCAATTTTCTAAATCAAATCCACTAATAGCATTAGAGTTCCCCACCCGAAGGGGAACCCAGCTCAACCGCCGCTAAAACGTCTTCTCCCACACTGGTAAAGGAAATGCTTTCTTCAACGTTGGAAGTCAGCTCAGCAGAAGGATTCTTCAGTCGCAGATCAGGTCTGAAGCAACAATTCTAACGAGCTAACTCACACAGCCTGATATAGCCCTAATTGGCTCATCAGTTTCAGCTGTGGAGCTAAGCTCTGCCAATTAATTTGGCATTTCATTGACCCATTTTCATATCTTTAGAAGTGATTGGTCATCTAAAGCACTCCCAAAGTCTGTTTATACAGACACATGTAGAAGTTCCCATGAAGAGGAACCCCCCATCACTGATCCATCTTGCAGTGTGTATTGCATCATCCAATATGTCCGTCCACAGGATTGGTTGCCGACCACAGACCTGAAGGATGCATATTTTCATGCCTCAATGTTACCTTACCTCTGATTGTTTCTTTGGTTTGCGTTCAAGGGCAGGGTATGGCAGTGCAGTGCAAAGTCCTGCAATATGGACTGTCTTTGTACATGCAGGTTTTCTCTAAATTCATAAGGGACAGCCAGTACTGCACTGGCTCACGAGCATCTGCATCTCATCGACTTGCTCATTTTAGCTCAGTCTACGGTTCAGTTGATTGTGCACAGAAACATGGTGCTCTGGCATTTCGACTGTTGGTGCTTCGGGTCAACCAAGATAACAACATGCTCTGCCCCTGTCTCAGCATGAAGCTAGACTCAATCCCCATGACCAAGTAATGTGCTAGACTTTTGTTGGCCTGTCTGAAGCAATTCAACGGGAAAATAATGGTCTTACTGAGGTTTCTTTAGAGGCTCTTGGCGTATATGGCACCCATAGTCATGTTCACTGCTCAGAATGTTTCATATGAGACCACTTCATTGCTGGCTTCACGATCAGGTAACCAGATAGGCATGGTGAGCATAAACACACCAGGAGACTATCACCACGCAGTGTTGCCATACCTTCAGTCACTGGACAGACTGGGGGGTTGTGGCTATGTACTACGAGCATGCAGCTGCAGGGTCTTTATGTCATTTGTCAGATCTTCTCCTAATGTTATTTATATACTCAATTGACTTTAAGCAGCTACACCTGTGAGGAGCTTCTCTTGTAAATTCACATGCAATTACTTTAACTTTGTCTTACTCTTCAGAGTAATTGGTTATTAAGAGATTCCCCATAATGTTGTTCCAACATAAAGCCTCAATTCCTTCCTTTAGGGAACAATGGTTATGACAGTAACTGAGACATATTTATGAATGTATGCATGTATGCATTAATTAATAAACTGATTTCATTCATTTTCTTGTCGGCTTAGTCCCTTTATTAATCCAGGGTCACCACAGCGGAATGAACCGCCAACTTATCCAGCAAGTTTTTACGCAGCGGATGCCCTTCCAGCCGCAACCCATCTCTGGGAAACATCCACACACACACACTCATACACTACGGACAATTTAGCCCACCCAATTCACCTGTACCGCATGTCTTCGGACTGTGGGGGAAACCGGAGCACCCGGAGGAAACCCACGCAAAGGCAGGGAGAACATGCAAACTCTACATAGAAACGCCAACTGAGCCGAGGATCGAACCAGCGACCTTCTTGCTGTGAGGCGACAGCACTACCTACTGCACCACTGCCTCGCCCTTAACTGATTTCTACATTAAGAAAAGAAAAAAAGGTCACTTTATTTTGATGGTTCGTTTGTTGAATTTAAGTTACATTGCATCTACATGTCAACTAATTCTCATTAGATTATAAGTAGACTGTTGGGTTGGAGTTATGGTAATGGTTATTTTAAGTTGACATGTACTTGCAAAGATTCTTATAGTCAGTTAAATGTTTGATATAGCCGAAGTATTGACAGATATTAAGCAGACAGTCTACTAATACTCAAATAGACTATCAAAATAAAGTGTTTCCAAAAAGCTAACCACATCATTGCCATACACATTAATCTTACAGTAGAATTTAATTTAATTTAAAGTTTAAACAGTAGTAACAATTAAAACATACATTTTATTTTATTTAAAAACATTACACGTTACAAATAATTAATTATTTTTGGTGCTTGTTTTTTTGCTGCCTTTTTTATTTTTAAGAACAAAACTAGTATTTTAAGAGATTTAAAAAGCCAGAAGATTGGGTTCTCTATGATGACGGATTTCAGCTATTACTTCAAAGCAAAATACACACTGAAAACCTTGTGTAAACATGATTATCAGAATTGGAAATTACTTAGACCAAAAATGACTTTTCCTGCAGCCTCAAAATAAGTCAGTGATGCAGAACTTATGCCAACTGATGAATTTTCAAAATTAGATACACATGTTTTTCTCTGCCTGATTTAGATGAAAATGTTATCAGCTGTTGCTCAGTCAAGTCACAGCTAACTGTAATCATGGAAACTGAATTTGCTAATAGGAAACGAGACATGAAAAGACTCACAACCACTTCAGGATGGGTTTAAGTAGGGCAGTTGTGTTGCTTAGAATGACCAGAAACATGGTCTTTACTGTGGCAATGGATTTTTTTGTTAGAAAGCACCAATAAACAACCCTACCTGGGTACACAGGCTTGAGAGTCAGATTCAGGGGCGTCTGGAGCAGGACAACAAAACTGGTGAAGAACTGTCTGGTTCCTGTAGGAAAATAGGTGGTAAAAAAAGATAAGCTTTTGAAAGTATGTCAGCATTATAGAAGCATTCTATGACTAGAGGCTACCAGACTTATTGTCTCACACACACACACAAACAAACATACACAAACACACACACACACATATATTCCATCAACTGGGGCGAATATTTTGGATGTAGTGAGTCATATTAAAAAGGCGTGTATGCCAAGGAAATGTTGTAAAACTCATAATTTTTACATATTATCTGATCCACACTTTCTCTGATCATTTAATAATTTGGCTCAATGAGATCAAGAAGCCCCATAACTCTGCACATGCTTCCGTTATTGCTGAGTTCACGCTGCACAATTTTAAATAGATTTTTTCACTCTCGGACAGGTTTTGTGATATCACCCCCAAATGCCCATAATGCCTGACATTTGTTTCTGCATCACATATTTGGAATGCTAAATATATGGACCTCCTCTGTGATTAAAAATCATGCTGTGTAAAATGAGTTTTGAATGAAAAGCTTATCAGTGATTACAGAGTCAATGAGAGAGCAAGACACAGGACAGTGAAGAGTTCAGCACACAGACCATTTGAATAACAAATTATATAAAATGCTTGTTGCAGGGTAGTAAAAGGGTACCATTTGCAGTCTCGCACATAGCCTTATGTATTGTATTCATGCAGTGTGTGTCCACCTGTACATTAAGGTAACCTATCAAAAAATTATATCATATCAAAGCTCATCCTCTAAGACAGGGGTATCCAAACTCAGTCCTGAAGGGCCAGTGTCCTACTGAGTTTAGCTCCAACTTGCTTTAAAACACCTGCCCAGAAGTTTCTAGTATATGTACTATAATGTAATGTAAGGTAATGTGCATTTACATAGCACATTTATTGTGTATGGCCATACACCCAAATGCTTCACAATCATGAGGAGGGGTCTCTCCACACCCCCACCAGAGTGCAGCATCGACTTGGATGATGCGACGGCAGCCACAGGACAATGACGCCAGTTTGCTCACCCCACACCAGCTATTGATGGAGTAGAGAGACAGTAATAGAGCCAATTTGGTGGATGGGGATGATTGGGAGGCCATGATTTTGAGGGCCGATTGAAGGACTTTGGCCTTTGAAGGACTTTGGCCAGGACACCGAGGTTACACCTCTACACTAGTTTTAGCGTCATATCCAAAAGATGGCACCCATTGACAGTATAGTGTCCCCATCACTTTTACTGAGGCAATAGGACACACACAGATCGCAGGTTGAGTGCCCCCTGCTGGCCTCTCTAACACCACTTCCAACAGCAACCTAGTTTTTCCATGTGGTCTCCCATCCAGCTACTAGCAAGGCTCAGCCCTGCTTAGCTTCAGTGAGTAACTGGTCTTGGGCTGCAGGGTTATATAGCTTTCTAGTAAGAGCTTGATTAGCTGGTTCATGTGTGTTTAATTAGGGTTGGAGCTAAACTCTCCAGGACACTGGCCCTCCAGGACAGAGTGTAGACCCCTGCTCTAAGATTACACACATTTGGTTAATAGTAGTTTTAAAGTTAGCAATGCAAAGATGAAAATAGTACTCAAGCCTTGTGTAAACTATGCATACAGCAGCTTTCACACTCACAGTCGGATGAAATAACGTCAAAATTAGCGTATATGTGTTTCTCCATGCAAGCTAGACTATCCAAGATGGTGCCAAGCATGTCTGTCGCGTTGCAAGCTCCCAGCAAACTTTGTTGTGTTTTGTGTGTTTTACTTGTATTTTTGCAGTTTCTCGTGCTGGATGTACACACTCTTATTGCCTACAACAGACACACACTTCGGGAAGTTGGCACATTGAAGATCGGACTTTAAGTTCTTTAATGACGCTCTGTTTACAAACACAGCAACAGAGCCCTTTGTCTGGGTCACACAAACGAAGTGATGATGAAAACGCAGCCAGAAAAAAAGAGAAAAGAGAGCTGTCATTCTCATCGGACTAAGTGACGGTGGATCTTGACATCCACTCCCCACCATTCTGCTGGCTAACGTTCAGTCACGGGACAATAAAATTTGCGTGCTACAGGCCCACATATTCTTTCATATCCTCCCCCGCCCACCATTTGGCAAATCGGCACACTCTTCTGTTCTGCTCTTGCCCGCTACAGGCAGAAACTGAAATGGGAACCACCCACCCTCAGGATGTTTCAGAGCTGGTCAGACCAATTGGATTCCTAACTTTAAAGACTTTTGATCAAGTTGACTGGGAGATGTTCTGGGCAGCTTCTGATGACGACATCGAAGTGTACTCAGACACAATTACGTGCTTCATTAGAAAATGTATAGAAGACGAGGTCCCAACAAAAGCTTTTAATATCTACCCCAGCCAAAAACCATGTATCAATGGCGAAGTTCGAACAGCCCTATCAGTGCAAACTTACGCCAATAAATCCAGAAATGCTGAGGAACAAAAACCAAGCTAACTACAACCTCAGAAAAATCATCAGAGCAGCAAAGCCTCCATACAAAGACAAGGTACAGGGTCAATTTAACACCAACAATGCAAGGAGCATGTGGCAGGGACTTAATTACATCACAGACTTTAAAAGTAACAAGCCCACCATTGTAAACATTGCTGCATCTCTCCCGGATGAGCTCAACTCATTCTATGCCCGATTTGAAGCCCATGACAGCGCTTTGGGCCTACACAGCTCTCTGTGCAACTAGATCCTGGACTTCCTGTCAAACAGACACCAGGTGGTCAGCATGAACAACATCACTTCATCCACACTGATCCTCAACACTGGTGCTCCACAAGACTGTGTTTCCAGCCCACTCTTGTACTCCCTGTACACATATGACTGTACATCCAAACACAGCTTCAACGTCATCGTTAAATTTAAAAAATGACACAACGGTGCCTAATCACCAATAATGATGAGACAGCCAACAGATGTGCAGTGGTGTCAGGAAAACCCCCTCTCACTCAACATCAGCAAAACCAAGGAGCTGGTGGTGGATTTCAGGAGAGAGAAGAGAGAACACACTCCCATCACCATCAATGGGACACCAGTGGAGAGAGTCAACACTTTCAAGTTTCTTGGAGTCCACATCGCTGAGGATCTGACAGGAACTGCTCACACAGCAGGAACTGCTCACACAGCAGTGCTGAGGAAGGCACAACAACGCCTCTTGTTCCTCAGGCGTCTCAGGAGGTTTGAAATGAGCCCCCACATCCTCCGCTCGTTCTACACCTGCACTGTGGAGAGCATCCCGACTGGCTTTATCACCACCTGGTATGGAAACAGCACCAGCAGCAATCGCAAAGGCCTGCATAGGATTGTGCGAACTGCTGGCCGCGTAGTAGGAGGTAAGATTCCCTCCCTCCAGGACATCTACACAGGGAGGGCATGAGGAAAGCCAAGAGAATCATCAGTGACTCCAGCCACCCGAGCCATAGACAGAAGGGAAGTTTCTTCCCTCAGACTATCAGGCTGATGAACACTTAACACACTCCAAAAAAAACTTTCCAAAAACCCTCACTGCATACCATCAATATTTAGCATGCACTGCACTTTAAGCAATTCATACTTAAAATGATACTGCCTACAACTATGTGGACAGCTATTCATTGCTATGTCACTGTCAACATTGCCAATTTTACATTGTCCTGTTTTTTAGGAGTATGCTGTTGTATGTTGTTGTATTTTCCAGTCTGTTTTTTGCACTGTTGTTGTATTTGCACTGTCTGGAGCCAGCACCTAAGCACACGTGCTGCTGATGATGTGACAATAAAAGTGATTTGATTTGATTTTGAAGCTTCATGACTTCTTTACTCAAATTCTCATATTTTTGTCTATTGGTTACTCTTAGAGGCAATGAAATGAAGTTGCAAACATTAAACTACACACCACCACAAGTGAGAAACATTGCAATTAATTCGTAGTTGATTAAACATTAGACGTAATTTGAAGTAACAGCTAGTTTTTCTAATGTAATCACAGCGACTGCACAATCAACTGCCTATATAGGCATGTAATTGTTAAACTCTCTATGTAACGGTGCAAATCACAGGAATACTGAAAACACTGGAGCAGTGTTGGGGAAAGTTGCTTTTAAAAGTAGTACATGACAATATTGCGTTACCACCCAAAGAGATGTATAGTAACGAAGTAGAACTACTTCACTACAGTACTTAAGGACTAAAAGGCTGTATCTGTACTCTGCTGGAGTATTGTCTTTTTCTCCTACTTCCACTTTTACATCATTAAAGTAATTAGTACTATTATAGATTTCCTGTGATAATCACTTATTATGCGCATACAGACTGTAACCAAGCAAGATAAAATTTACATTAGTTTATTTGCTATAAATGCTCATGCTGTCTTCTGTGCATTTTCTGTGAGCATCTAATTTCTGTGAGTTTTGTTTGATACATTCAGAAAGAGTGTTTTTTATTTTTTTGAGCAGTTCAAATAAAGGGAACATTTCATATATCTTACTGCTGTATTAAAGAAAAAAATTGCATTACAAATAATATATAAATATATTTATAAATTTTAATAAAAAAAATGTGTTGTGAAGAAAAAATCTAATTATGTATGGAAAACATCGTCAATAAACTGAGATGCACCGAGATATCGAATTGAACCAAATCGATGGCATAATTATCGCAACCGAACCAAACCATGAGACCAGTGCAAATTCACACCCCTACTTGTTACAGGTAAACACCTTTTTTTTTGACTACTACATGGAGGGCGCCATAGTGACAAGTGTCTTCCAGTAGAATGTTTAGAACGTCCGTTTACTGCATTTACAACCCGTAATTCGCGATCCGAAAATGGGTTTTGAGTTTAAGTGGATTACAAAGTGTTTTAGTGAAACACAACTTTGAAGGGTGTGTGTTACAGCTGTTATAATCTGTCAGATCTGTGGTTCAAGAGTGAGAGAAAAACAGTATCTTAAGCCATGTTTCTTTTCATTCTGCTTAATCACGTGCCTCAAAATAAGATATTTAAAATAAACAAAACAA